GGTACGGTAAAAGACGATGAAGATCAGGAATTAGACCACATGATAACAGCTCTGTTCCATAGATACGTGTACGAAAAGACTGAGCGAGAACGACCGTGTAGCCCACGATGCTCACTCACGAATGATAAACCTCCTAGGTAGTGACCAGGAGATCAGGGCCACAGTGCTGGAGCTTAATAGACACCGAATGAAGTACATGCTTAACACGATAGACTCGTAATGCCAATCAAATGCCACCCGTTATATCTAAGAGCCGCTGGAATAATGACCACGAGGAGAATCTTGAGCTTTGAATTCTAGTATCATAGGCGCGATAAGACCGTAACTGCGTTTCAATGTTTTCATGAAGCCATATAAACAACTACTTCTGTAGTCTTTTGTGTATCATGAAACTTGGCAAAGACAACGTCGGGCTTGAGGCGAGACCTTGCCGTGCTCGGAGGAAACCCGGCCGGTCATGTCTGCCGTTCTGCCGGCTCATATTGGATATATATGACAGCTATAACAGCCGACCAACCAGTACGCTACTCCCGGCTTCTCAACTGTCCCCGTGATAGATTTTCCCTAGATTGCTCTGTGGGGAAAGAAATTTCTCAATCTGGGGTTTGCTCACGTTCTATTGGTGTGATTGCACTTTGATCTCGACTCCAGGCCGAAGCTTGCCCGTGGGGTAAATTAATTGTAGCATTCGCGCCGTCGCCCATGCAGTGCCGTTGCTGCACGTTGATGAAATCTATGGAAAAGTCAATACTGTATTATTGACCCATCAAATCAGGAAGGAAAGACTCGATTTCTAGAAGGAAATACCATCTGATATAAGAGGGCGAACCTCTTCAATTGTGTCGTCTTGGCGTCCTTCTCTTACCCGGGTTTGCATCTCCAATCGCTGTCCCTTCAATCTTGATACCGCCATGAAGTCAACAACATTTGCCGCACTGGCAGCAACAGCTGCTAGGACTGTTGCTGGCCATGCCATTTTCCAGCAACTATGGGTGGATGGTGTCGACATGATGAGTAACCCATAGACCACCTCTAATAGAATCTCAAGCTGATGTGCAACACGGGTCTCAGTGTATTCGCATGCCTCAATCAAACACACCAGTCACTAATGTCGCCGGAAATGACGTTCGATGCAACGTGGGCGGTACTCGAGGTGTCTCTGGCAAGTGTGCTGTAAAGGCTGGGTCAACTGTTACTGTCGAGATGCATCAGGTGCAACTTCTATTCTTCTTCATTGATGAGATTAATTATGTGAGACTGATGTGTACCATTATAGCAACCTGGCGACCGATCTTGCAAGAACGAGGCTATTGGCGGTGCCCACTACGGCCCCGTGATGGTGTATATGAGCAAAGTCAGCGATGCTGCGACAGCTGATGGTTCAACTGGCTGGTTCAAGGTCTTCCAAGATAGTTGGGCTGCAAAGTCTGGCGCTGGTGCTGGTGACGATGACTACTGGGGCGTGAAAGATCTCAACACATGCTGTGGTAAGATGGATGTCAAGATCCCGTCCGACATTGCCGATGGAGACTACCTCCTACGCGCCGAGGTGATCGCACTTCATACAGCAGGATCCAGTAATGGTGCTCAACTATACATGAGCTGCTATCAATTGAGCGTCACCGGGGGAGGATCAGCTTCGCCCCCGACCGTCAAGTTCCCCGGAGCTTACAGCGCTAAGGACCCCGGCATCTTGATCAATATCCACGCCAAAGTTGCCACGTATGTTGCTCCCGGACCGACAGTCTATGCAGGGGGATCTCAGAGAACTCCCGGCGGAGCTTGCTCAAACTGCGCAGCAACCTGTACTGCTGGGTCCGGCAAGGTCGGCACGGCATTGGTAGCGCAGCCTACGGCCGCCGCTGGTCCAGATACCGCCGCATCGCCAGGTAGCAGTGCTGGCGGTGCTGCTGGTTGTGCGCAGCAAGCGTTCCAGCAGTGCGGTGGAAATGGTTATACCGGTTGTACAACATGTGCGGTAAGGATTTCTCGAGCTTCCGATATTGCTGAATGAAGATGTCACTAACATCAGTGATAGTCGGGTTTAACATGCAAAGATGTCTCGGCGCCTTACTACTCGCAATGCCAGTAGATATGTTTTGCGTCCTCAACTTGAAGGGAGCGGCATTCTGGAAGCCGGGAGAAGAGACGACGGCACCTCTATGAATGCTGACAAGGCAACTTTCAGTACATGTGATGATCTGTGTTATTTAGCATTTACGTCGACATCTTGCAAGGCGTTGAGCAAGTCATCTTATTGAGTAAAACACCCCATCTGCCACCATGCTTGACTTTGTGATCAAGATACAACATCGGAGTTTTCTATCCACGGGGATAACCCTCATGACGACTATGTACAGATCACTTAGTACGAGTATATTCAGACACCCTTTCTATGCTGTTTCCTGTGTCGGCTTGAATGTTCCCAGTAAGATCTAAGGTCTCGCCAGAACCTGTCCATCATCTCACCCTGAAAACTCCGTCGGACATTAATGAGCAAGCCCATTTTAGATCAAAAGTCGAGGGACATCAGAAAACTATTGGAATGCCGAGGGTCCTGGATAGGTGCAGTATTACAGATGCAGCGAATTACGGACAAAAGGATCCTGGCAATTCATGAATCACCCTTAAGCTATGCGGGGATTAGTTCCCTTCCATCAGTACCGATACTACTTCTAAGCTGTGCCATCTTCTTGATCTTCACCTTTATCCGGTCTCTACATCGTCTTTATGTACATCCCCTAGCATGAACACGACGCCCGCGCATTGCAGCTCTCACTGGTGTCTATGGAGCACACTTTGACAACAACCCGCAAAATCCAGGTTTGGGCAGAGGACAAGGAGCTTCCCCGAATCACTAAAGATTGCAGCATGATGGTCATAGCTTGATTGGATTCGGGTTGGTTATTATATAGCTATTACGATATAGTTGGAGTGAACAGAAACCAATTAGGTCGCAGTAACGCCGGTTTTCTCCTCTCAGGTCTGCAAACGTCTGTACCACTGGGCCAGGCGTGCTCATGCTGACCGAGACTCAGCTTTCTTAGTCGTTGTTTTGAATGTGCCAAACTCCGTTTTCCTGTGCCGGTGAACATGATGAAAGCAAAATCTTGTGGGCCAGTAGACTATTCCTACATGCAGGGTATCTCCCAAATGACGAAGACCTCACTGATCCATTAACTCAAACGCCTCGTTGAATATCATCGACTCATTCCCTCATCCGAGCATTTAGGGGCGAGCAAAGCCTCCACTTCGGATGAAAGCGTCCTGGTAGTCTCGCAAATCCGCCCAGCTTCGAAGCTCTTCCTCCTCCTCCTCGGCTGTCATGGGCTCATCAGAAGTGTGATCCGAGCTTCGACTACCAGCGGGCGGGCCAGTCTTCTCCAGGCGAGTAAGAATGTGCAAGAATTGCGACAAGTACGCCTCGTTCTTCTGCATCACTGGTCCTTTACGGGTAGACGTATCGTTGAGGAGAGTCGACGCTACTTGCCTGATCTTGTTGATGAGCGATGCGCCATTGGGCTCCATGTTCCGTTGTGGAATAGACAGAAGGACAGTCATAAGATCCTGCACTACTGCCTCGCGCTCCGCCTCGAACTTGAGGCCAAGCATCGCATCGGGCTCTGGTTCCATTTCCTCGATTGCGGCTGTACCTACGTGGGATGTGTCAGGAGGCATTCGATAAATGGCTATTTGCGATTGTTGCGCTGTCTGCTGAACAGCCTGGCGTCTTTCGTCGCGGAGGGTCAGGAAACGCTCCACATAGAACGACCTGGTCGCCAGCCAAGAGGTGTAGATGTTGGTTTTCTGAATCTCGTATTGCAACAATCGTTTCTTGCCTGGCTCGCGCTGCCAGAATAAGCGGATATCGTTGCTAGGTTGCGGATTCGGGAAAGCTGGAGCTACGTATCCGAACCCGGGAGCTTGATCCCAAACACTGGCAATTGCAGAAGGGGTGGGGATAAACTGTACGCGTAAGACTTCGGGCAGGTTCTCGGGAGTGACTAGGGGTTTGACGCTGGTCAAACCTGCATCGAGGATGCTCATCTGCAGCTCCCAATCTAGCGTAGTTAGGCCGTAATGTAGCTCATAGCCAACGAGGCTCTGCATAGTCATGTAAATTTGGATAGCCTTATTGAAGCCCACCATGAGGGAAACAATGCCGTCAGGTTGCGGCAGAATTCGATCATGTGTTATGCAGTCGTCATCCACCTCTCGAGGAAGCTCGGGGTAATACTCAGGTGGGGTCTCTGGTGGCAAGATCACTTCACTGTGCGATGCACCTAATTGAGACATGGAACTGTGACAATAATAAGCAATGGTACTAGGGACCAATATGAGATGGCACCCACCGAACTCCGAGGAACAAAACCCAGAACACTCGTTTGCCCATTTCTTCCTCGACAAACCCCTTTTCGTTGACCGGAAAGCTGGTGATGCCAAGAGCCCGAGCCGTGGGAGAGAGTCTGCCTGCTCGATGAAAGCCTAATTCTCGGACGAAGGACATGGACTCTGCCATGAACCGACGGCAGAGGTTCCAGCGTAGTGTATACCCAGCGGACAATCCAAGAAAATAGCTCGTCATGGCGTCATACACGCTGACCTGGTCCTTCTCCATGAACTGGTAACCTCTGGTTGTGAGTGCAACAGAGCGACAGTGGTCAACGAAGTCAATCGACCTCGGATAAACGCGATCGCCATATCGAGCCTTCAAGTGAAGCCGCGCAGCACGTGGAAACGAAGCAACGAGGCAGCCCATCATGCTGGCAAGCAATCCTAGGAACTCCGGGTTTGTTTTGTCTTCGCGATTGATGAGGGAAGCTCGGAAGGTGGGTTGGTGAGGAAATGGTATCAGGGGGTGAATGTACGTATAGTAGTCGTCGACAAGCAGCTCCAAAACCGGGAAGG